TGGCAGCTTCTCACAGAAGCCACCCCTGTAGCCCCGCTGCTTGCCACACAAACCCAACACCATGTTCCTGTTACAGAGCAGGTCCCAGGGCTGCCAAGAAGGGAGTTGAAGACTACGTGCAAGTTGCAGAGCAAGTGGGATGCCTTGCAGCCAGCACCTTTGCTAAAACAAGAGACCCCGATTTTGAAGGGGAGGGGTGTCCTGCTGTGAGCAGGTCCCATGTATGCGAGCAGCTGATTCCCTCGCAGGTGGGCGGTGGCTGACCGGCACACTCCCTGGGATCGCCCTCCTGCCCGCCGGCAGGAAGAGCTGCTGCTTCATCCTTTTCTTTCTGGGATTGGCCTTACTTACTGCTTGGCCCGTGCCTCTGTCCGTGGAGAGGTTTTGCACTTGTTCACCTCCAAGTTCGGAAGTCAGCGCCCAGAAAAATACTGCTAGCAAGAAGCCAGTACAGCTCACATGCTAAGGCTTAACGTGAAGCGAAAAATATTATTAATATATTTTTGCTGTTTTTCTTGTATTGTTATTATAGGACCAGGACAGTTAATAGTTGGATTAGATAGAGAAAAATTAACACCATGACAACAGTACCCCACAGTCACAGGTTTTAACAAAACTTAGCCACATCATTCAGGAAACTGCACTGACTCTCCAGACTGATCTCTGGGCAGTTTTAGCTACTAACTCCCCCGGACAGCAGCAGGCAGAGGAGTTACTCACAGTCAGCTGTTCTTCCAGGTGCTCTTCTTACTCCACTGATCAAGTCACAGCAAAACAACACAGAACCAGCATTAACCTTACAGGGCCTATAAATACAAGACCAGAGGAGGGGGAACCAACCTGGCATTTCAAGCTGCACCCCAACTTCCTTCATCCCCATCAAAGGTCAATTCACACATTCAGTCTCAGGGGGAAGGTTAAAGGCGTTCGTCTACCCATGGCAGCATCTCAGGCTTGTATGATCAACCCCACGCCGTTGCCCTGTGAGAAGCAAAGGGGCCCGTGTGCCCCCAGAGCCACACCAGGACGGGCGGGCTGAGCACGATCCTCACCCCATGCCCAAAAGGGATTTCCCTGCAGCAGCAGCTGTCAGCTCCCAGCGTCGCACTGGGAGAGCGCATCAGGGGAACGGGGCCTCGCACGTCTGAGTGGCGGCTGGTGCGTACAGGCTGCTTTCTCCCACTTCTGGGCAGCAGTGACCTATTATTGCAAACCTACTTTAGTTTCCACACAAGGGGATGCGGAAAGCAGGCACTTTGGAGAAAGTTATTTGAGCTTTTTTCTCCTCATCTGCTACTCGATCTGAAAGGCAAAGGGGAGATTTACACTGAGAGTTAGGAGCAGAGACCGGTCAAATTGTTCCTTCTGCCACTCCAGTCAAGCAGGTTTAACGCTGCCCAGTGGGGAGCTGCTCCTCGGCCAGCCAAAGCACCTGCCCCAGAGGGCTCTGAAGCCTCGGCGGCCGCTGCGCCGGAGCTTACTCCATGCCTGCCACTGCCCCCTCCCACAAAAGCACCCCAGGCTCTCAGGCAAGCTCACAATCAGCTTTTACCAGTTGTACACACGGGTCCGCAACTCCTGCTCAGGTAAATACCCATTTGGGAGACTGATGGGATGTTGGTGGACAGAAACAAGTGCCCCCAAACTGTTAAAGATTAGTTTTGCCCCCCCCCCCCCTTTTCCATTTTCCCTCCTCTTCTGGCTGAAGCATACAGACTGCAGATTTTTCAGACATAATGGGTTTTTTTGCTGTTTTGGCATACTAATGTATTCACATTTCCAGCCCATTTCACTGCTGGCAAATCCTTACGTGTGCAGAAGTGTTTGTGTAATCAAAGAGCAATATTTTTAAAGAGTCGGGATTGAGCAGTCTAAAACCGTTGGAGATAAGAATCATGGCTCAAAGCCTGAAAGCCGCGAGATTGGCAGAAAACGCAGAATGCCATGCTCAAGGTACTGCCTTTTTCACACAGGGTCCCTGTATCAGATACTTAGTCTTTGAATTCACCCAAGACATTGTGTTCTTGGGGGTCTAACTGAAACAAGCAAACACCACTAGATAAAACCCAAGCAAGCAAACAAGCCCCCTTCCCCGTACCCAGACACAACCCGTTTCAGCTGTATTTCCTGTGCAGCCCTATAAAAACAGTTCAAGAAGCTTTTAATGGCCCTTTCCAATTTCCAGCCATAAATGGCATCCCCACAGTGGAGCGGAAAGGTAGCAGAAAATGAAAGCATAACCCACAGTTCTGTCTGAGGCCTTACACTGTGACTTGCTTTCTCTTGTCAGCTTCACATTTGAGGAAAGCATTTTGATAAACAACAAGTATATTAAGGACAATAAAAATACTTCATTTTCTGCAAAGCCTTGAAGTTTTGCCAGGCAACGTTAGGAGCAAAGGACTTAGGGAGTTGGGTTCTGTGTCCCGCTTCCTGGAACTGAGACACAAGATATCAAATTGTGTAAAAATTACGGTAGCTCCAAGAGCTGACAACACTGAATTTTGTTTCACTGCCTGCAGGTCCCTGTGCTGGCTTGGCTTGTCTTTTAGCTGAGATTCTAAAGGCTTTAAGGGTGGGTGGATGTTGCCCTTCAGCAGCACTTGGAGGACTGATGGTGTTTTCAAAAAATAAAAGCAAATGATACTACCCTGCCAGAGGGAAAAACAAGGTCAATCATGCTATGCAAATCAGGTCTCTGTTGGAGAGAAAAATCAAAACAGAGGAACCTGCTACCCCCACGGTACAGATTGAACATGAATAAACAAAACTTAATTCCTGCTTGATTTTATCACCAGAGAGGGTGAAAGAGGAAAATATATGGGTGCAAAAATACTTTGATGAATACAGCAGTGACTTTGGAAACCTCCCAGTGCTTGAAAAGTAAACTAAGAGTGTCCACCGTGCAGAAGACATAGCTGAGGACCTCTGAGGAACTATCGGACATCTAAACATCTTTTTGCTGGAGGCTATGTAAGAAGTATCCTGGCTCTGAATACTGTTGCAACCCTTTTCTTGGGTTATTTCATTTCAGTTCTTGGCAGAAACCAGTAAGGAAAGGAAATACACCAGTGCTGAAAATTCACCTGTAATATTCTCAGGGCAGGTGGATAGTACTTGTGCATTTCTAGGCTTTTGGTTTATTTACTTTAAGGCTAGCTTACAACCTATTATCTGTCAAAACGATTAATTTTAACTACGGAGCAATATTTACTGCAGATCTTGATGGGATCTACACCTCACACATTCAAAGATCCTACTTCATTTCCCTGGGCCTAGGATAATGACAAGAGCAGCAACAGGCCCCGCTGCAGGTGATCACTTTTTACCTAGGCAGGAGCTCTGAACGGCTGCACGGCAGACGGAAACTTATGCTGGCAGGAACGAAAACACAAAACCCACTAGGCTACCAGAGGGGAACCACACAAATTGGTAACAGAAATGCCAAGTGCCTGAAAAACATTTCAAACAATAGCAAATTTTTACTCGATTACTCTATTCAATGTCCTAATGAGCTGAATGAAAAAGATTTTGGCTCCAGTGCTTACTGAAAAAATGGCCATGATGCCACGCTCATTTTCAGTTCAAGTTTTACTCCCATTGGCACAAAGGTTGAAAAGTTTTTTTCAAAGTTTGAAAACCAGCATAATAATTTCAGTTTCATGTATAAAACAGGGCAACCCAAAGGATACAGGAGTCGTGTGACTGTTCCAACGTTCAGCGTTAAAGTGCTGCACAACCTCATTTTATCTCATGTATTGATTATTTTCTACATTATCTGCTTCTCAAATTATAACTCTGTACAATACCCACAGATATCTAAGGTTAAAATATTTTGATAAAATACCATGTTATGGAAGGTTCCAATGACTTAGTACAGATTACAGTACAAAAAAATGAGAGTCAGAGCATTGCTAAGAGTTTATTCAGAAGCTTTTACTTTCGGTTCTTATATCACAAAAGACATGTTTAATGTTTACAACAAGTATTAGAAACTGAGATGTTTTTATTTCTACTATTATAAAAGTAATGTAGGAGACCATTCTAAGCCATCTTCAAAATGCAGACCAATCTTTTTTTTTTGTATATAAACTGTACACAAAAAACAAGGCACTATACATTTTTGGATAATAAAGTATAAAGGTTGATTCGCATAGTTTCTCAAGAAATCCATGCTATAAATACAAACGCTTTGTTCAGTTTAGCACCTGAAGCAGCACTGAGAACAATTCATTAACTATTGCAAAGAGAAACTTTTCAGAATGCGTAGGAGATACATACTGGTGGTATAGCTAATTCAGTACAAGCAACTGCCATCCAGCTACTTTTCTGTAGTTTTGACATGAAAGTCTTGAAAGTGAATATATATTGCATTGTTAAATACATACTTGTTCTATGTGTTTATATAAATATAAATTCTTTGTAATCCACAAACTAACAAAATAACACTTTACAAAGAGAACTTCTTCAAAAACAAAAATGGCAAGTATTGTATATAGCCAAAGGACACCTGCAGCAGTAGCTCAAGAAACTACTGTTTAAGTGCATAGGAGAGCAGAGCTTAAACACATTACCTTTACGAGTCAAAATTGAATTCCATTTCCAAAGAGTTCTCTTGGCCTTTTATAATATTACACACCTCCAGATAGGTAGTCACTAATAATTTCAGAGTATTTCTATTTATTCCATACATGTGGGGTACAATTCTTCTAAAGGGCATAGAAAGTGAAAACAGACATCCCTTCAGTGCTCACTCCAATAAACACAACTTAGAAAAGTCCTTTTGCCTTCTTCAGATTAACCTGCTTCCAAGATGGCAGTGCATTGTACTCTTCTCTCGTCATCTCTAATGCAACCTGCATTTAAAATGAGAGGATATGCCATTAATAAAAACACTTAGAAGTGGCAAAACTGTTAAATGACTTCAGAGCATGGTTACACACATGTGCACAGAGCAACAGTGCACCTATTCTCTCCTTACCTCAAAGTCCTCATCTGAAAGATAAATTTCAAGCTTCAGTGGATCAACTCCCTCAGGTAGAGGCCTAGCTAAGAGATCTGCTAGTGGATATACTGTTTTACACAGCTTGGCCAGCACGTCCTCTACAAGGATTATCTGATTAGAAACATCAGCATCCTGTAGGGAGAAAAGGAGAAGGGAGAACAGGATCACAATGCTGAAATCACCAACTGCTCCCGTTGCAGTCTGCAGATGGCATGGGATCAACCTGCACTGCCTAGCCCATGAGCACAAAGCTATACATCCAGGTCTGCACATAGGTGAACAGCCCTGCCCTACAACAATTTCACAGCTAAAAAGAGGTCTGCACTTAGCAGAAGAACATCTTGTAGTCTCAGAATCTCAGTTTAAGGCTGAACTCTGTGTTTAGTCACAAAGCCAGCATTTTCCACGAAGGATGGCTGCAGAAGACTTACAAAGCAGAAAATGTCATTTGCCTTGAGATGCCCCTTCACGGAAGGCTTTTAAAGCAGTCACATGTAATTCGGCTGTGGCTCTCCTTCCCAGGTGGGGAAGTCAATGCTGGAGCTCTTGGAACCAGCTGATCCTTTGCGGGGCATTTTGCTCCCCTGCACTTCAAGCCTGGAGGATGGACCAGCACTGCACGTTGCTACCTGTTTCACATGATTGGAACAATTGCTCTGCTAAACTCTAGCACCTCTCTTTCTAAGAGATGATTCAGATTAACACTTTCCTCCTGTTTTTAACAAAAAAGAATATGAGAAATTATATGAAATTTTGAATGCCTCTGATATCCACACTCCCAGTCAGAATTTAGCTATGTTGTTATTTTTTCCCTGTGCAACTCCTGAACTGTACTTTGTAAGTTCATCATCTGGATTTTGGGGCTTGACAGCACAAACAAGCAATGTTACTGACAACACAAGACACAATTACTAGCAATAGGAAACAGTCTGTGCAATGAAGAGATTTACCATTTCTGTGATCTCTGCGATGTCTTCCCTGTGTTCCCAACTTGGGAACATATTAGTGAAGGTCAGAGGCTCTAGGCCAGCATGAATTAGATAGGATTTTGGGGGCTTCTTTACATTTTTTCCTAAAACCAGTCAAAATAAAAAAAAAAAAGAGAGAAATTACACACAGTACCATACTTTGCAATGTCACCCACTATCCAAAACCCACTATCCAAAGCTACCTTGTAAGCATGTTTAATCAATTCTTTCCTGAAAAGCTCAAGTAATTTAAGACAGTATGAATAAATTTCACCAGGATTTTTTTTTAAGTAGTATGGCACCTTTTAACGTGTTTTACAGTATTCTTAAATCTGCCTTTTACTGTATCTGACCACAAAGATCAAACCATATATGCTGAAAATTCCCCACAGTTACTTCCTAACCCAATGTATTTCTTATCTTACAAAAACAGAGTTAGAATAGAGTAAGCAGAGTGTGATGTGATGGTCTGAAATTAGCCAAATTCAGGTAAATGGAACCTTCTGGTATGCTCAGCAGAAGTGTCCTGCCAGCAGCAAATAAAGCGTAAGCTTAGAGGCTTCAGTGTGAATGTTTAAACTGTTCTTAACTTGGGATATTGAGGTCTGACATAATCATTTTGTTATTACGAATTCAAAGGAATGGGATCTGAAAGTTAACAGAGGCATTGCAATTGCTGGATGTCAATTACTGATGATTTTTAAAGACAGTCCTGCTCCTTTAAAACATGTATGCGTGCACACTATATAGGACATGGACATAAGCCTGCCTAGGAGTGATGCCGTATCAGATGAAGTGGTTAAAGTCATTATGCCAAGTACTGGTGGAAAAAGGCCCTATGATTTAATTTTATGATTTTAATTTAATGATTTAATTCCCCAGGGATTCAAAAGCACTGATAAACTCCAAATATTATTGGAAAGAGGTAGACGGGCAGTCAGGGACTGGGAGGAGCTATCATTCAAAAAATAACTGTACGTTCATCTTACTTGGATTCAAACAACTCAGTCTAATCAAATCTTTCTTCCAGATAGGCAATGGAAAAGCTGAAGATGTTGCAAAGTCCAGAATCAGGTGAAACTAACAGAGCAACTTGACACCACCTCACTTCTGAGGGCTGTGGCTTCCCTAAAAACTGCTTATTGCAAAATTCTGTTAATTCCCTACATTCAATGACAGAGCATCTTTAATGCACTAAGATTTCCTCCAGAGCATATAAATCCATTACAGAAAAACCTGTTTTTTACTGTAGTCTCTACCTGCACTTCATGAGTGTGGGCTGTCAGGCAGGAGGGTCTGAAAGAACACAGCCCCCTCCTCCCCGTTGCTGAGGAGCACCCCAGGGAAGTGATGCAACACCTGTGCTGAATGCAAACGGAGAGCCTGGCTGGACATCCTTGTTCCATTAGGTTTGCAAAACCTGAACATTACAGGTTTGGCTTTACATCAGATGTTGGGAGCAAACTGATTAGAGAGAGCATGTTCCCATGAAACTGAGTACCAGAGATAAAAGCTCTGTGGAGTAGTCTAACAAACATATTAGAATGTGATTTAAGTATACAATTTAGACAGGAGATTTATCATTTCAATACTTGATTTTAAGCCTTCTCTCCCACATATTTTCACTGTGGTTTATTTGTTCATTCTATCATGAACAATTCAACAAGCACTTAAAAACTCTGCATTTAAAAAATGTGTGAATCTACTCTAGTTGCACTGCTCCACTCTCAGTAATTCAGCCAAGAAATAAAAGGAGTGGCATTTGGTAATGTTCCAGTATAGGTAAGATGAATTTGTATGTAAGTGGAGAAACATTTTCATCTCATGAACTCTGCCCTCAGCACAAGCTGATCTCCTCACTAAGTATCACTGAAGGGCAAACCAGATTCTTCCCTCTCCTAGCCGTCTGCAGCTCAGCTCTCCAGACTGCTGATTTAGCAGATAAAACCACAGAAAAACTTTAAAGACATTTTGACAAGTTAAGTAAGATTTATGCACAAGGAGGACTGCTAGATATATTCAAGGGATATCCAGAGTTGCTAATCAATCTCTTTCATACTGTCATGTAGTTAAACACTGCAAGCCAGGAAAAGAAAAAAAAAAAAAAGGCGGGGGGGGGGAGAGGGACATAGATGAGGAAAGAAATGGACAGAGAAAAATAAGAGAAAAGCGTTTTAATGCTTCTGATCACTCAACCATATTCTGGTAGTCAAAATAATTGCAGCAGCATTGGTATCTCCTGAAATTCAGTTTCTCCACCTTGATAAGTAACAACACATAAAACACATAAGAGCTAATCAGCCCTGACAGCTTGATGCAATGAAATTTTGACGTGGTTGACAGAATCCAGATCACGAAAGTGATAGACCACCAGAACAGCATAGTTTGAACAGTAAAAAACTGCTGAAGGAGTTTACATCAGCTTTAGCATAGAAATAGTACAAGTAGAATCGGTCTGTAACAGTAACAAACTTGCTCTGTACCTATCCAACCACACAGCCCAAAGCTCTTGAGAACTACACCATGGCAAAGAGGATAAAGGCAGAACTGCTGCAAAGTCATGGCCAGTGGTAAAGAAGTGAGCACCCAGCAAAAAAACTTGTTCTATGATACATATGCTAAACTTCAGACCCATAAGGAGTCTTTCCTGAAGAGCTTTCCACAGTGCATTCAACTCAGATGCAGCAAATTCGATCCAGTGCAGAAGGTATTAATCCCTTTTCCTATCATCAAACTCTACGATAAAATTCAAGAAATCTGGAAAAGTATCCAAACCTCAGCATGTGTATCTGATTCCATGTCTGCTGGGGCCAGAAAACATGATTTTCATTACCACAAGATTATAGGACTACATTAGGAACACTGAGGTCAGTATCTATCTTCCATCTCTCTCAGTAGCCGGTTGAGCAACTCTGGGCATTTCATTGCATGGGGCTCTGTTCCTCTATGCTGACATTCACTTCTGCTGTGAAGCGCATTGTATGAAATGATTTCAAAGAAATGCATCTTATCGCTCCTTCTGACTTGCAAAAACTGTGGGTGGGGTTGGTGGAGAACAAGTAACTGGCCTCTTTAGAAATTCAGCAGTCACTGCCAAAGACTCTTCCAGTTATTGCCCTGTCTTTAGCACCCCATTCCTAAACAAATGCAGTTTAGGAGTTTGCAGTTTGGCAGGGCAGTGCCAGGGACACTAGAGGACGAACCATGTAGACCAATAATGCAGTCCAATAAAGGTCATGTTTCAGTGTCTCCAGTATTGGTTTTCAGCTCTCTCCTGCCAGGTGTTACCACCTCCCCTCACTGATAGGAGACAACTGAATAGAAACACAACAGTTGCTCCTACTCCTATGTGACCTGCAGACTGGGAAGGAGAGACTGGCTTATCCTCATAAGGGTGGAATCCAACAAGGGTATCGCTTTCCCTCTTCAAATATACAAATGTCTATGGGAGAAGATGACAGATACCACCAGCTGTGTCACAAGTTGTAAAGTTTATTTGCTACAGAAGAAATCAGTGGCATCATGAGGTCTGAAGGTCTATAAGCGATCAGACTTTCCTTGCAAGAGGACATAGTTTGCACCAATTAAGCCCTAGTGACTTATTCACAGTGAGAAACTGCTCTGGACTAACAGAACGTGGCTGTTACGTATGCCCTCTTTCCTGGATGGTAACCCCACACCTTTCTTTATTCATCCTCCATCAGAAGATGCAGGGTCTGTTCCCAGCCTCACATAACCTTAAGATGAAGTGAGAGGAAAGCACTACAGTATCTCAAGGAAGCTCTACTAGTGCTGAAAATAATCTGGTCAGTGTACTCTTACATGATCATCACTTGCAGCTTGAATCACTGCACACTGAATGGCAATAAATCAGTCTTGCAGTAATGGGCACAGAGCCTCAGCTCTGTGCTCCAGCATTTCCAATGACAACCTGTTTCTGTGTGAGACTCGTTCTCAATCTTCAAAGTCTTTCCATCTCCCCCACTAAATCAAAACCCAGTTACATCAGCAAACAGTATCTTCGTTCAGTCTTTTGATACACAGAAGCTTATGAAATCTAAACGAAGTTAGACAGCAAGCATTCAGGTTTAAGACGCTGTGTTCTCAGGATTCCCTTTAGGGATCTAATGTCTGAACTATTTTCCCCCAGTGGGGGGCACAGAAGAGGAATAAAGCCTTTCCTCTGAGAATTGAGTCAGCAGAGTATCTTGGCAATTTGGGAACAATGGCATTAGTACACAAATGATTTGCTAAGAAAGAGTAGAGAATGTATCTTCCAATACACTGATGTTTATCAGTGCCATTGGGGAAGCACCTGAATACATTTCAGCTCAGGACAGTAAGGCATGGAAAAGTATGGCACACTCAGAACAGCCAGGCACAGCAATGTTACCTTTGCAGTACTGGAGCACTGTCTCCATGGCGCATTTCCTGTCTGTAGCCCACCTGATTCGAGCTGATCCAGCAATTTTGTTTTCCACAGGCCACCAGCCTTGCCACAGGTACACTTCATGGTGATTGTCAACAAGGAACAGTGCTACATAGCCAAAAAATAAGAAATACATTATGAGCCACTTATTAGTTCTTGGAATCCCTGAAACAACCCCAGTCTTACATGCTTGTCAGCATCACAACAGGATCATTTCAAAGCTTACCAATCCCTTTTTGTTATTCATCCAGCTGAACCTCAGCTGAACTCAGATTCTCTGGTACAAACAATGTATTTTTATAGCAAGCTTTTGGGATACATATATGTTTGATTAGTTCTCAGCATCTTTATCACAGAAAAGTTACTGCCTAATGCTGTATAAGCATCACATGTACACCTTTTCCTGTGATAAATCAAGTTAAAAATTATTACAGTTACTGAATCACTGCCCAATGCAGGATACAGTTATCGGTTTTCTTGTTACTCGAGTAGTTTAAAGCATATACCTGGCTGTGGGGCAGTGTAAAGATCCTCTTGCAAGAATGGCATGGAATTGATGACAGCAGGGTCTCTTGAAGGGTAAATGTACTCGGTAGCTGAGAATTCTCCTGATGAACTACTGAGGCTGAACAGGCGGGGGGTGAAATTAAACTTTCCAGGATCTTTAAAGAACAAAAATTAAGAAGATTTCCAATAGAAAATGCCAGAGACAAATGTGAAAAATTAAAATAAAAAAACCCCAACTTTTAGAGTGACTGTAAATTCTCTGTTTTTTTAAAAATCAAGGAAGACGACCAGATGTCTTGGGGGACTAGCAACAGCTGTGAAGAACTTGAGCTAAAAGGCTGGCTGCAATCAGTTTGAATCTGATCCTGGCTAGTTACTATCAGCCATTTCATAACTGGCTGTTTTGCAGCTTAAGTGAAGCAAGCCCATCTCAGAGTTTACTTTTTAGCTGACAAATTTTCCACTTGGTAAATCGATCCCCCTGCTACCTTTGTCGGCAGTTTCAAAGCAAAGACTGGACAAGAATGCGTGCAGAACTGCCTCCTAAATCCCTTCAGAAGAGAAGCAAAATGTGTTGGTAAGTGTTAACTGTTGCTCTGTGCTGCATACATACAGAGGGGCTGCAGAAGGGGGAGAGAACAAAATGAAACACTTCGTTTTCCAGCACTTTCCTTCTAGAACAGTATTACTTAACTCAGGAGATTTTTGGAAACATCTCTCTGAAGCAATCATATCAACTACCAAGAAGTTCTTCAAAAGCTTTACATTAAATCTCATAGTACCGTAGACCAGTAAAGTAAAATGTGAGTGCCAAATCCAGGAATGCAGGTCTACCTTGCAACATGCAATCATAGGCCTTTCGATCTCTCCTTCCTAATGCGTCCCAGAATCCCAAGGGCTCTGACCCTTCATCACATTCGTGTATCGTCACCTTGCTGCTGCTGTGCAGCCCTGCCTCCAGCGGACATCTACAAAACACAAAAGAAAGAGAGTCAACCCAGCTTTCCTGCCCTGAACACAGCTAACACAAACCTGCTGGCCACTTACATTGTTAGAACCCAAAAGCACCCTGTAGGCTTATTTGTACGCTTCATGTCAACACAGGCTTTTTGAAAATGATGGCAAAAATCATCAATAAACAAGATACAGAATTTCAACCATTCTCATACCATTTCTGATCACATACCCAGAGTGGAGGAGATGCTCACATGAGCTCTCAGCAGGGATTCTCACTACCTGTTTTTGTAACTACTGCTGTCCTTCTCGCATGCTTTCCCAAACTTTTCCTTATTCACAAGGCTTGATTCTAATCCTCCTATCAACTGGGATTTAGTTTGCTATTCAGATATTGAGCATCTCCCTCCAAATGGAAGGAGACTGTTTTTTTGCAACTGTAATTAGTACAGTAGGAAGAGTAAGTGCATTTGACCTTAACCGAAAGTGGTTACAGAACATGTGTTTTCCCCACTCCACCGAATCAACTACCCGTCATTCCTCCTCCTTACCAAGCATGCACATGCTGCAGTTGTACTCAGAGGACAGCTTTATTTATTTCAACTTTTCTTTGAGGCAGACTGTATTAAGTAAATTGATAGCCTGTATAAACATCTCCAAAACATAGGTCAGACACTCACTGTTCTTTTATTTTATTGGCTGCTGTTCTTCCTACATCCTTGGTGTGAGATTGTGCTTTGCAGCCATGCCACAGGTAGATAAGAGCTTTATTTATATTGAGGACAATCATGGATGTCCGGGAACGCAGGCTGCTGCAGTGACATGCTACTTCAAGTAAGTTTCCTTCATTGGGAACTTCTCCTCGCACGCAATATAGCCTCCAGTCACCTGGAGCAGACAGGAACAGTGCAGCAGTATTATACAGTCACATGGGATTGAAAATTCAAGACCTCTGCTCTGGAACAGCTGTTCTCATACTGGATGAATTTCACATATCGCATGCCTATATTGTCACAGAATAAACTAGCTAAGCATCAGGTCTGGCTAACACTACTTTGGAAATCCTATTGCAGAAAAGATGCCTTATGAAACTTGCTACAAGAGTACAAGTGTTAAGAGCTGAAGAGCTTAACAGAGTAGAAGAGTCAAGTTTCTGCTCTGTTTCATACAGGGAAAAAAGGGAAACGAATACAGTAGTCCTTCTATT